GTAGATTTTCTGAAATGTACAACAAAAATTATATTGCTCGAATTTTATAATATTTTCTTATCAGTTATTTTATTATCAGCCATTGTTTGTTATAAGATGATTGTTTAATAAAATAAAAAAAGAAGTCAATTGGCGATAGTTTATTTAACGTTAATATTATGAATTTTCATTGATTTTGAAGGCTAACCTAATACAAATAAAAATCGGTGTTGCGGTAGTCAAAGGGAGGGAAACCTTTAGTTACTAACTACAAATAATTCCACACTTTGTTTTTATGTAACTGTCAGCTTTCCGAAATTAAATGAGTTCCTTCAAAGGGTAGATTCCTGAATGATTGCAGATAATATTTCTCTGCGCCAAAGAAAGTGTGCAATTCAGTTGCAAAAACATTTATTTATTTATTATTTTTTTTTTTGCAAGATCATTAAAGGCATACATATTTCTGGACCTCTATGGATTATTTTTCTACAATTTTTTACAGGACAGGATAGAAATGAAAAAAAAAAAAATGATTTTATACAAATTTCTACGCGAATGGTAAGAAAAATTAATTTTATATTTAAAGTCATTAATATTTGAAAATAATGAAATTTTTTGAGTATTTTTTTTTTTTAACGAGTTTACAGTTTTGATATATCACTGCGATCAGCATTATTAAAAAAGTATAATTATAAATAATAAAGTACTGTACATATAATTCAACAACCTATTCTTCAAAAAAACGTAGAATTGAAGAATAAAAAAGAAGCGGTTTTCGATGCTTAAATTTTATTTGATCGATAAATCACCTGATTACACCACTCAATCAAGTATAATTTTCTTATATACTTTACAGAATTTTTCAATGCGTTTAGTGAAAATTTTATTTTCTATAACCAAATTAGTTTGATGTGCTGCGACTCCGTCATCGCTTCTTATTTATAGCAATTCAATATTCATGACTTCCCCTGCGTAACCTTCAAAAAATGTCACGAAATGGCCGGCATCACGGCATTTGGCTGGAATTATTTGTGGAGCACATGTGACGAATAGTGGTGACTAATACGATTTCACTACCGAAAAAATTCTCTATCCCCATAATACTTAGTAAACTGAAACGCGGAGGGAGTTGACACCGGTGACAAATTATATCACATACTTGAAATTTCGTGACATTTTTTGAAGGTTACGCAGGGGAAGTCCAATATTCATTTACTGCGTTCGAGGTTCCTAAAAAAAAACTGAAAAATTAAAATATATTATAATAATAATTAGAGTTGACCATGTCACATTTCGCATGAAAGAATCTTTTATTTATAAAATTAATATAAACAAATATTTTTATTTTTAAAAAAATATTTTAATTATTTACAAATAAAAAAGGATTGTTTATTTATTTATTTAATCAAATATGGTTAATAATAATTTTTCAAAAAATTTGTTAATAATAAGGGGCTACATCAATCCCAAGAAACTTACCATCATGAAATAAGAATCGACTTTCAAGTCGAGACCTAAACAAAAATGTAGGGGACGTTAGTAAATACCTCTTAATGAAAATAAACACTAAGTTACTTACTATTCCGGAAGGCGGACACCACGTTCATGATGACGCCGAACCTAAAAAAGAAACGTAGTGAATTAACGTTTCAAATCTTTGCATCCCAACATCCAATTTACTCACCATCCCAGATGGTAGAATCTAAGTCATCTAATCCAGGATGTGAACCTAAGAAAAAGAATCAAAACAAAGCATTATTTCTTTTTTAACGTTTCTAAAAGAAACGCCAAACCACTTTCCTTGAAGTTACTTACCAATTCTGGAAGATGGAACCTATTTCCAAGCCAAAACCTATAACAATCAATTTTTACCTTATCGTTATTGCGAGGTGTTAATTTATTTAATAAAACAATTTTTTGTTAAAAGAAATAAAATAAAAAAAAGTAGAAAAGAAAATGTGTAAAAATAATAATAATAAATTTATTTTTAAAAAAAGTAAAAAATAAAATAAAATTTTTGTACGTGATGAACGATCTTTAAATCTTTTTAATATATTGAAGTAGGTCTTGCTCTTGAATACTTCAGAGGTTCTTCAGTAATTCCCATTGAAGTTTTCTGCACAAGTGCATTTGATGCAATATTTGACAAATTTTGCTAAAAACCTTTTTTTTTAATTTCGCGCATGCGATATAGAAGACCAAGGCACTTTTTTTGTATATTTTGATGTAAAATTTGATTGTTGAGTTATGCAATTTAAATAAATCTTCCTTCAATTGATGTTGAATTGTTTGAAGGAAATTTGAAGGACCGCGTTTTAAAATTCCTTGTGTCACATAACTAAATTTTTATTGTAATTGAGTAAAAAATCAATTTTTTGCCCATTACTCAGAATCTAGTTTAATATATTTTTTATAGTAATTTCACGAGATTTCTTATGTATACTAATCGTGCGTTATATTATATAAAATTTTAAATGAGTATTTGATAAATTTAATAAAGAATCTAACCCGTTAAAGATAAATGTAGAAGGTTTGTCTTTTGATGAAAAGCTTTCACAATCTTGGCTCAACAAAGTATCCAAGAGAACTAATTGATATCTATTTTGAATATTTGGTTCCTCAGGATGTTGTACCATTGAATAATGACTATTATTCATGTAAATTATTAATGGAAGAAGCCTTGCTGAATTATCTTATCCTATTATACATGGCGTTATGTCATCTTATAACATTTTGACAACGAATATTTATTTACTACTAATAAAATTTCATTTATCCTCACTTGCTTTTAATTTCAAGAATTCGTTGATTTCTAAGCTTAAACCTCAAATTTGCGTTAATTCGTTAATGTCTCGGTTTATTAATCTTACAATAAGGCCCAATTTTGTTTGGTTGCTGTGTCCCAAAATATTTTTTGTTAACGAATGCACATCTGGGAAAAATTGCGAAAAAATGTATTTATGTATTTTTGCCCCTGATTAGTTGGGATTCAATCCCTGACTTTTGAACGGGACGGCCACTTTATAATAATGTAACCACAAAAATGACATATTGTTACATTTCATATGGGCTAAATTTGACTTTGGCTAATTAAAAACCAATTCCGCCAAATCCATTTGTTTACGTAAACAAATGGATTTGGCGGAATTGGTTTTTAATTAGCCCATATGTTTAAATATTTAAATGCAAGCTGATTTTATCGAAACAATTAATTTATATTTTTGGTGAGGTTATCATGTGAATGAATAAAAAAAAAATCATGCGAAATTCTATAAATTGAATTGGACGATAAGGAGGTTAACTTGTGAAAAAAAAAATTGAAAATTAAAAATCTTTGCAATACGCAAAATTGTAAATCAAAAGAAATTTGCAAATAAAAAAGAATTTTGTAATATTGATGAGATAATGTAACCGACATCAACAATCCTCTGAGAAAAATGTATTAAATTTAAATTTAAAAATCGAAGCAGAAAATGTCTTGACCTAGTCATGTAGGACAGGGCCATTTGACGATCTGCAAATAAACCAATCAGATGATTTTAATTAGGAAAAGCAGACGAATGCATCGCACCTCGCTTCTCGTTTTCCTACAAAACGCAAGACATATAGTGTTGGAAGAATTAGACGTGGAAACTAGTGAATATTTTATCCGTTGGATTTTATTTGCGATGAATTTTGGGGCTTGAAAATATGCGAGATATGATCTATACCAACATTTCTTATTGCACCTCGATAACATAGTAAATATTAGAATGAAATAAGAACTTAAGGAGAACTGAAATGGTAGAGATGAGTAAAGATTATGGTTCTAGATAAAATTTAAAGTCTAAATTATAAAAGATAAACTTTGACCGGTTTTGATTTTCATAAAATTTTATGTTTATCATATAATTTGACCATTTACAGCATTTCAGATAGCATGAAATATATAAAACAATTATTTCACGGAGACTCTGTGGAATATCATGATTTCATGGCGTAGCCATGAAAATCGATATCGTGATCGTGAAATAATTAATACTTAGGCTTCAATAAATTATTGTTATTGGTCAGGTTGTAGGTGATAACTGATTTACACACAGGATGCTATATAGTTTACATGGCCGAAGGCCATGTGATCTAAATAGTATCCTAATGTGTGTAAATCATTTATCAGCTAATTTGACCAATAACACGCTTATTGTATATGTCTGACGTAAGCACTGGATATTTTTTTCACATATCTATTGATCATTTTCTAATCACTTCTAAACTTTTACTCACTCATATACCTTTTTCACCTTCTTCCTTTCCCTTTTTATTTCTCCTACTTTTTATTTAAAAATTATATAAATATGAATTTTACACACGACTCACAACCTCTCTCAAAAGAAGAAATTGACTGTTTACAACAAGCATCATTTGTTTCAAATACTGAAAAAACACTTACAAGTGGCTGCAAGTTGTTGATCGATTTAATAACAGCAGTGGCATATTGCAAGCCATTGAATTAATTGATTCTATTAATGAACTTGAAGATTATCTTTGTAAATTTATAACTTGGTTAAAAAAGAATGATGGTACAGATTATAAAGTAGAAGTCATTCATAACTGCTACAGTGCTATAAATCGTTATCTGAGGGAACATAGTGTGATTCAACCAATAAAGATTTGGGATTGATACAAGTTTCCTTATGCTCTTTGTACGCTTGATGGAAAAATGAGGATGTTGCAGAATAAGAGATTAGGTGATACCAGCAAATCTGATGGATTATCTGTCAAAGAAATCAAACAAATACTTGATCATTCATATATGAATACTGGTAATAATGAATCTCTTACCCGTCGAATTTTCTTCTGGTTATGTTTACTATGTGGATTGAAAGGTGGAAATATATATTAAATTCGCTAAAAAGATCTTGAATCACGTCAAGATAGAGGTTTTGATCTTATATTACACAAAGACAAGAATAATCAGGATAGTGCATTTTATAGAAATATACATAGAAAAACAGGTTTTCAGCACATTTCTATATCTCCTTATCAACCAAATAATCAATATACTCCTGTAAAAGACATTCTTTTATTTTTATCCAAACTTCCTGAATCTACTCTAGTACAGGATCCTCTATTTTATGAAACTTCTAAAAGTAAAAAGGTAAATTGATAAATTTATTAACTATTTATATATTACTTTTACTAACTTTTTTTTTAAGTTTTACAAAAGGTCTCTGGTTTAAAAATAGCACTATAGGCCAAACAAAATTTAAGAAAATGATGAATGATATTGCATTAAAAACTGGCATTAATTTTGATAATGGAAGAAAAATTACAAATCATTCTTTCATCATACTGCAATTCAACTTTTAAGGAATAATAGAGTTTCTGAATTGAAGCTTTAATCCTTTTCTGAAAATTGTTCTCGTAAAAGTTTAGCAGATTATAGTCAAACTAGTAAATATCAATAGAACATAAGTACTGCAATGTTAATTCCTTATTCTCCACAAGATTTAGATGATGATTACATTTCTGAATATATTACTGAAGATGAATCAGATATTGGTACATATAATGCTTAAAATATTTGATATTTGTTGCATATTTACAATTTAAAAATTTGATTTTCAAATTTATAGAAGTGAATATTAAATCAGTTTAATCAACTTTGATCCAATCACAAATTCTGATTATTGCATCTTCTAATGTCAAAATTCAAGAAACCAAAAAGATATCTAATACTAAAACTCAAAAAACTCAAGAAGGTATGGTTAAAATTTTATTTTTTTTTATTTTTAACCTTTGCTATTTACTAACTGTAATATAAAATTTTAGATATTTTAAAACTAAGTTCAAGACTTTCAGATTAAGATCTCGTGATATAAATAATTCTTACCCTTCTGTAATGGTACCTTTTAAACTACCTTATCATTTCAATTCCCCAATGATCACTTCTTTGGTAAACACAGAAAGCCTTTATTTATAATTAACAAAAACATCATTATTGAGCTTCCTCCAGAAGCCTTTTCGCAAAGATTATAACATAAATATTAATTTAAAAATCAGTTAATGTATCTTATTTAACATTTGTATAAATATTAGCTACATTTATAAAATAAAAAAAATTCACACATTTTTATATATGAAGTAAATAAAATTAAATTTGCATATTTTATATATAAAGTGAACTAAATTTGTGTATTTTTATATATAAAGTACATCAAATTTATATATTTTTACATATAAAGTGATCAAAGTTTGTGTATGATATGATTAGAAAGTGATCATAATATGCATAAAAAAGATCCAGTGCTTACATAGAACGTATACAATAAATATTTTATAAAACTATTGTATTATTACTTATTAAAATTACAGTAAAAAATACTTATTTTGTTAATATCTATTTTCTTATAGAAAATCAGATGGGAATTAATCTCTGTTATAGTTTATTCTATAACAATTGGTGTTGAGCTATACTTTATAGGTGATGAATTAACCAAATATTTTATTGTAATTTACAGGTATTTATTATGCATTAAAATTTATTTATGGAATTATAGATTAATTCACAATAAAGACAATTCTATTATTATTATTTTACCAATTATTCTAGGCTTATTACTTATGGTATTAATGAGATTTTATTTTTTACTACCTGTTAAAACAATTTCTTTCGCAAATATCAGAAGATTCAAAATTATTATGAAATTTAAGACTTGATAGTTGTAGTTCAAAAATTTAATTAATTTAATCACGAAAATTTGCATAATTCATTTATTTTGAATATTTTATTTAGAGAACTAGGATTAGTCTCTCACTATTAGTAATTACGTCATCTTCTCATTATCAAAATTAAGACTTTTTTTATCATTAACTTTTTTAGGTATGAAATTTATGCCTTTTTCTTGTTTATTTCTTTATTTGCATTAACTTTTATTTATTTTTAATGTCTCTCCTTTTTAAAATGCTTATCCTGTTAAAGAAATGATTTTTAGTCATCAAAAATATAGATATATAAATATACGAACTTTATAGAAGGCAAAATATTTATTATTACTTATGGGCTAATTGTCAAAAGCAGAAATGCATTACAGTTAAGGCTCTTAATCAAATCGAGTAAAATCAATGATTGATTGAGTCAATTAATTTTTTGATCACAGATTATTAGATTTGATCAAAACTAGACTAACTTTAATTAATTTATAATCAATTAAATTCTTATTATTAATCAATCAACAATTACTTTACAATCAATTATATATAATATCGTTATAGTTTATATAAAAAATCTTATTATTTTACATTGAAAGTTATTTTATTTATAGTTACATGCATTATTTTTATTTTGTCAGAAAATGCATTTCAGAGTATCAGAGTCTTTATTTATTATATTTATAATATTTAAAATTTTGAATATTATAAGATCATATAATCAATGTATACAATTAATTTTAACGTTTTAACGTGAAAAACTTTTATTGAATAACCTCTAAAATGCTAGACCAAACAAACTAAAATTATTTCTACCCAGCTAACTAAGAAAAATAATAATATTGATTTATCTTCAGATATTAATCAGCTTGAATAATATTAGAACTCCACAAGTTTTACCTGTAATGAATTCATTTCAATGGTGAATTGATAATAAACAGAAGTTTTCAACTTTATTTAAAATAGCTAGAAAATATTTTAGTATTATAGCCACTTCTATTCTAAGTGAACGGGTTTCTTAGTGATAATATGTATCAAATTACTAATGAATAGTCCAGTTTAAAGCCAAAGACAGTTAATAAATTATTATTAGTAAAATGAAAAAAATTTATATTGTGAATGGGTAAAACGTGACGCAGTATATGTGGCGCAAATGATCGACCTAAGTGACATTTGTAACATTTCTAACATGTCTGACATATGTAACATTTCTAACATAATCGACATAGTTAGTATAGTAGATATAGTTGATATAGTAGACA